CGGTTTGTCGATAATAGTCTGCTTAGGCGGTAAGCAGTAGACGAGGTAAATTCACGAAATGTCGTGAATTTATGATGTTTCACTACTTTGATCGTTCTGCTTCTAGTTAATCAAGCTTGTTCATTCGTCAATTAATTGTTTACATTCGAATATGTAGACGCATCACTCAGGTTTGATTAAACTTGATGAATGGTGAATTTACACATGTTAGTCATACCACAACGGCTAATCTACACAATTTTGACATAGTTTATTACAACTTCCATTGAATGTGATATTACAAATCAAACTTATCACAGGAATAATAAATAACCATGAATTTGAATAATGTATTCCTCACTGCAGTGTTCGTTTATCCAATATTTTTACTTCATGGAGTGAATGGTGGTGAGTCTTGTAATATGCACATTATAAACACATGAGAATGTTAGTTTTATTCTAATTATGGTGATGGCAATTTAAATGCGAACAATGATAATTCTTAATGAAAAAAGACGTTTTCAATTCGATTACTTACAACTTTTCCTCATCATAAGAATCAATAGGACGTTATTACATGCCTGCACGTACTAAGCTTCTGTAATGTATTAATGACGAGATATTAGAGAGTTCCGAATAGTGAATGTTTCATGTGCAAAATCATAACTGCCTATTTTTATTATGTTCTTCGAAAATATGTGATTAGCATACGTAGCATTCATTATTGTATTAGTGTAGGGACAAAATGCAGAACGCCCTGATTGTAGTCTTTGAATCATCTATTGTAATGATGATACAGTAAGTTGATCACTTAAAGGTTTTTAAATCTCAATAGTTTAATTATTGTAAATCGGGCAGACATAGCATGTATGACGACAGGATGGGTAATTTCCCTTCCTAGTAAAGTCTACAACCATTGGATATATAATTTGTCAAAATTATATATTTGCATTATTATTATTATTATTATTATTATTATCATTACTATCATCAAACACAAAACCAAATTACTCTCAACCTACCTTACAATAATATTTCTTATTCAATTAAAACAACATTATACACTATACAGTCTGCCACTGAATTCTGGACTGAATTGAGCTACTGAATAACTTTTTCTCTCACTCCATCTGATCTACATTGATTCCGACTATTGATGTCACAATGTCATCGAGCAAATAAGCTTATTCAGGATTATCATTTCGAAGCTGTAATGAATAATCTCCATTCATATAAACTTTTTTTTTAATTAAAGCAATTTAAAATGAATAGTCCTAAGTACGATACAATTATTAGTATCACATATTATTTTCTATTGCAGCTGATAAAGGTGAGTTTTCATCAGTCAGTTCACATACACTTTGATTTGTGAATTTTAATGAAAATTTCGAAGTGAAGAACAATCAGAGGCAACTTGACGTGAAAATGTTAAACAATAATAAACCGTGTATTGTTTGATTGATTGTCATGTTAGATTATTGTAAATCAGATATGAACTTTTCCTGCCGAAATAATTTATTTCATAATGTACAACTGAACAATCTGCAAAACACATAATGATATTTTTATTTGATAATGACTTGTGGATTTGTATGTAGTAGAATTAGCTACAAAGGGTCATGAACAGGAATAGATTTTGAATTTTAGTTAGTACACCATTCAAACGAAAATGGTGGATTTCATTGAGAAATGAAATGTAGGTCGATAATTGCTCACCTAACATTTTTCTCAGCAATTCACGAAACGAATTTATTGTTTATACCCAAATATCACCGATGACGGTTGTTCACGCAAAACAACTTGTCTTTCTGCATATGTCAAAGTTTTCCTCTTTGCTGGGGAATAGGCATCACCAAGTCAATTATTCATGTCATTCTCTCTTATATAGTTGAAAATGAATATACTATTAAAGTCGATAACACATTCTTAGTTATTTGTCAATCTGCTGGTTATTTCTTAACAAACATCATGCCAAACATCATGCTGACTCCTTATATAAGAAACAACTAAAACTAACTCAACTGAACTACTTTGATATGCGCTAAACACAGGTGTTTAGTTAATTTGTTTACAATCATCCTTAATGTGGTCGTCTCATCCGTAATACAATTTAGTATAGTAAAATTCAAAAATCTATGTTGGAATGTAAAAGCGTCCAAGTTTGAACGAAAGTGGCATTGAAATAAAACGCTATTTGATATTCGCTTGCATTGAATAGTACAACCTACCTATATACCTACCATTTTCAGTGAGAGGAGTTCTTTCTATCTCGTCCCTTGAAATACCACCAGCATTACGTGTGAAGTAATACTGTCCATCTCTTGTTGCTGAACCGAGTAGATTTCGATAGATCAAACATCATTCATGAAAAACCCGTCTACTCTCATACTCTCATTTATCTACTTTATATCTGACTTAAATATCGTGTCATAAAGCTTTCACCTTGTGCGATAATGAATTATAGTTATTTTATTGTTATAATTACTGAGCGAATGTGTGGATATGTCTTCTGCCACGTAACACAATTCAAGATTTATCCTACAAAACAGTTTGATTTTTAAAAAACTACTCAATTTATCGTTGTAGTAATATTTGACCTTGTGTAAGTATACAGACAGTTTTATTTGGATGCGTATGTTTGTCGTCTATTATTTCTAATGTCATTGTTCATCACCCCACCTTGATGTTTTATCTGTTACTGCTTGAGTAGAAAAAACCCGTGAAATGATTATTTTCAAGACTGTACTGTAAAATATGTTGGCTCTTATAATTTTCATGATATTCCGATCTCAGTCGTACAAACAGTGATAACGAACAAGTTACTTACTGCTGTTCTGTCGCAATAGTGGTGGAATAGTATGATGGATTATTGTAATAAACGGAAACTGTTGAATAACAACTCCTAAGTTTCTGGTTCAAGCACACTACAAGAAATCTGAAAAATCAGTTTCGACCAATGGTAGAGTTGTGAATATGCATTTCTTCTCAGTTTCATGATAGACCTAAACACATATCCAGTTCATGATGAACAGTATCGCTCCTTTTTAAGAGATTTGAAGTCTAATCTGTAAACTGTGCTGACACAAATTTGTCTGAAATATGTTATATTTTTAAAATTGTAAGTCTGTTCAGTTTGCATGCAAAATAAATTCGTTTTAATTGAAATTTTTAATCAGAATGTTTATTTAATGTAGTGAATGATACGAAAACAGTCATTATACATTCACAGAATATTGAACAAGGAGTTAAACGATTTCTTTAAATGATACAATGTATCGTTGAATATTGTGTTGCAAGCTACCAACCGCACTCTTTGTATTTTGTTGTTTGTTTATTATGGAACGCGAATTTTGGTAATTTTGGGCGGCTACAATCAAAAGTTGTAATATGAAATTTAAACAAATTGACTAAATCATTTTTCAGAACGTTTATTGTAGATTTATGGTGAGTTTCAGCGTTTGATTTATCCTCATTCCCAAATAAAACAAACAAAATCATGTACTATTGATTACTGAATGTGTAATAGTGTTTTTAAACTGTTAAAAATATCTGAGTGATGTTCATTTAATTTGCAGTTTCACGATGTTTTTTTTCCGATTATGAGTGAATGATACCATTTTTACCGATAGTTATTTGTTAAAAGTGCATGCAAGTACAGATCATAATCCAGATTTTTATCGGTTACGCTTCAATACTTTTTCTCGTGGCGTTTTTATTCCACAACATAATAAGACGCAAAAGTCTGTTGATTTTACTGATTATCTATACGTTTTCTCAGTAAACTATCAATAAGATTGTTGGTTTGAATGATGGTCAGAGGTTGATGGTAGACAGTGACAACTTGGAATATGATCAAAGATAGAGACAGGGAATAATCTCAAATTTATTTAAAATTTTTACTTTTCAATACCATTGAATAACCATTTCGTGAGACTATTTTTTATTGGGCAAACTTTAGTCAATTTTTCGAAATGATTGATTGAAGTACGATAGAGATGATGCGAAGATCTGATACCGAGTAACTCTAGAAACTTCAAAGCACTGGATACCAGTTTTGTCCTTTTGTGAAACTTCTCAAACTTGCAACAGGAGACCGAGCCTACATCTTTATAGTTGTAGAACTAACAAGTTTTCACAATATATAATTATTATACACTTGGCTAAACTTCAGTATTGACTACAGTATGTTTACAATTGTGACTATGTTTCACACGTTTTAAAGTACCACTATAAGTAGATCACATTAGTACTTTTGTATTTTACATAAACACTCTGTCAATGATTATCTAACTTTACATAGATAACAGAACATAGAAATATTGCATCAGTGGTTCTCCA